GTAAAAAACAAGCATCCAAAGAGTACAGAAGAAAAGTACTGTTCTTGTTCAATATCAACTGTTCTATCTCTTTTCTCCTTAACTAACTTGTCTACAACAAACAAGCTTTGCTTTTAGCAATGGTAGATGATCACCTCTGGCTACAACCTCAAGTCATGCAATTTAGGAGGCCTTCAGCTATTCTTACTACCGTGCATCATATTTTGAAATACATAGGTTGTTTAACAGGTATTAAATGCCTGGCTAAAATCTTAGCATAAATATTTTTGCACTTTAAGAAACAATATTTGATTGACATAAATTCTAGACATTATTTGAAGAATCTACAGGTGCTATTTTCCTATTAGCATTTCCTTCACCACCTCCCACTAGGACAGACAGAATGGCTTAGGCTACTTTTTACTACATATTTATTCTGTAAAACTCTTTAAAACATATGCATTCTTCCCAAAATGATTAAAGTAGTAACTACTTCCTTGAATTAAAATTTTAAAAGCACAGAATTACTGCAACCACAAGACAGTTGATGTGTAACATACAGGAGAATAACTGCTAACCTCCAAGCCCAACACTATAATACACCCTTACATCCATCATTCTTCTCTTGCCAAGCAGTAAAGACATAAGTGTTCTGCACACATTAAAAGAGTGGATGCTATATCCATAAAAGTGAGTTGCCTGGAGGGAGGAAAAAATAAAGGCGTTGTTTTTGAATGGAAGTAAGTAGCTCCTGTTCACCATCACTCAAACACAGAATGTCATTTGACCCCATAGTGATCTGTGAAAGACAGCAGAGGCCATTCTAGCAGCCAGTCTTGCAGCTGGAACATTACATTTTTAAGTAAAAGCTTTATAATGCACCACACACAAACACATTTATACACTTATAACTGGTAACCAATTTGAAATCTATGCTTGGACTAACTCACCATTTATTGCTTTGCATAGCCTGTAAAGATAAACCTGCCTTTTCAAGATACTTCCAAAGCTGTACCATCCCTGGCTGCACATCTCCAATAGCAAAGCAAGAAAACTTGTTATAAAAACAAAACCACCGGACTTCTGTCTTTTCCTCCACCTCAAAGGATGAAAATGAGTGTCATTAGCCTCATTCTCCCCACCCTGGGTGAGTTAGGAAGCTGCCTGAGAAGCCCACATGCACCCCAGGAAGGCAGTGCCCTATGGGCCTTACAATGTGTTGGAACCTTATTGCTGCTGCCACTTTGCTTGTGACATCATTAAATAATCTTTCAGACCCACATGTGTCATGCTGCTGGTCAGGCTCACGTACAAAGAAAGCAGGGCAAATCACACACTGCCAGGGATCCAGGAGCAGAGGGGTCCCACAGGCTAGTATTTTTAGGGAGTGTCAATAAAATCGTTCTGATGTCCAATATTACCAACAGGCAATAATGGACAATGGAAAGAAGCTTGACTAGAGGTGGCACAGTTTACTAAAAGTAATAAATAGCGTTACTTCATTTCCAAGAGTGCTTCTTTCACTTTCCACAGGCATCTGTTAGACACACATGGCCTAACCACATCTAGATGAGCACTTTCATAGTCTTAAAAGTTATTAACCAAGTGTGCATTTCAAAGGCTTGTCTCGATAAATAAGCAAAGGGATTAAAATGCCGTATGCCCTTCACTGCAGTTACATTCCTACAGCACATGAGTAACTGCTGTCTTTACAGAGGTACAAATTATGCTGCAAGGGTTTCATAAACAGTCACGTGTACAAGCAGACTGAAAGACTTAAGTCAATAATATACATTTCAAATTTAATTTTTCAGCAATTTAATTTTTCAGGACAGGCACTGAGACTGTAAGGAGCTGAAATTATTTTGCATGAGCAGCAAACTTAGTCATTAAATTCACTGATTATACAAGAAGCCTGTACCGGATTCAAACAATTTTTTTTTTTTTTCAGAGAAGGCACTCCTATTGAACCAAAAAGCAAGTACCATGTAGAAATGAGAAGAAAGAGGAAAACTGAAGGTCACAAATTAAATATGCTCCATAAGTGTCCTTGCCTGTTACATTTTAAGATAACCAGAATAAATCTGCATCTATTACTAAAAACTGGCAATTCCCCTGTGTAAATAGAATAGCTCAGTAAGCACCTAGCTTTGGAAGGGAATTGTGTGATTTTCAGTGATTTTCAAAAGTAAGACTTTTAAATACCTATATGCATAGATAACTAAAGTACAACTAACAAAATAGAAGGCTTTTCAGTATAAAAATATGGTTTACCAAGAATTATCAAGTCATTAACTCCCCTACCAATTGGACTCTGCATCAAGTACCTGGCATTGAAGTATTAAAACATACCTTAGCAGAAGAAAGGTTCCTTCAGCTTAAATAAGTGCCTAAACTCCTGCTTCCTAGGAGGACACTGCTGTTCTGCTACAAAATACTTTTCCTATGAACAGCTTCCTTACAACAAAAATAAAAACACCTAACATGGCAGTAGCATTAGCACAGGAACTTACTAGCTGTCATTCCTCTAATAGAAATACCTGTATGGAACTAATTAACTTGCACATCTTCAGACAGACTACAAGCCACACAAAACAGCTTCTCAACTGTTTCCCAGTAGCACAGATGAAGGAGGGCAGTCCTTAGCTGGAAATTATAAGGCACACATCATCCCTCAAGGTTAAACCTCTACCTACTTGCCTTCTAATTAACCACCACTTTCTGTTAGTTTATCTGATCTCAAATTAGATCTTTTTTCTACCAATTTTGCTACCTTACACTTCTACTGCTTACAGAGACATATATTTAAACACTCAGGGTTAATACAAGTTCAAAAGAAAAGAACAGATGGGGAGGAACTAGAAGCAATACACATAATTTGTTCTCAAGCCTTACAGTTCTGACAAACAAGCAAAACAAAACATTAATCCAATAATTCACTAGAATTGCTGATAAATTCAACACAATACTAAAACACTTCATTTGACCCCAAACAAAAGGAAAAACAATGTATCAAATGTCACAACCTAGTTTTCAGAAACAAGTGAAAAATTAAAACCAACAACTTTTGTAATGGTCTGAAGTTAGTGTCAGAGTATACGGTGATGATATAACCTTTTAGTATTCCTGTCCCAAACAAATAATCAAGAACTTAAACACACTAAATTCCTGCAGTTTCCATCACATTAACTGAAATCTCCACACCTACTGTTCAGAATACCTACTATCATTGCAAGCTGTAGCACAAAGCTAATGTAACTCCATTCTTCTGCAGGAAGCACTAATTTAAAAAAATGCTTCAACAAGGCAAATGTATTATACATAGAAATTAATAACTTAATCACAGTACAGAAAAAAAAAAACAATGCCTTCTTTCACCTTATAGGGATGAACATTAGCCTACTTATAGAGATTCAGGCAGCTGCTGAGAATGTCTTAGCAGCTCTTGTATTTGCAAGAAAAACCCAGTCAGTCGTAAGCAAAACAATCTTGCCATTTAAATATGTCAGCTAACTGTGTACACATTATCCAGTCATCTTTTGCGAACTCAAAATTAAACATAAATCCAAATTTCTAGAGGAGAGAAATTACTCCAACAGCACCACTTTGCACTTGCAACGGCACAGCCAAACCGCAGACTTCCACTTGTGATCAACTGCTTCAATAAATCAAAACGTGACAAAATATTTGCAGAAGCCCTGCCAGAGTAAGACAGGTGATACAGTCGGTAGTATTTTCAATCCTAAAAAAGGCATTGCATCCTACAGAGCCGGTACTTTGCCTTACCTGCCCAAAAGCAACACTCACACGGCTTTGCAGCCGATGCACCGGTTTTGCTCTGCCAGTTTGACAGCCGTGACGGGGAAGTCAGCCCATCGCTTGCACAGAGGTGATTCCCCTGGAACAATCTAAACTCCAGGCATTACCATTTCAACGCATCCCTGCCAGCCTGCAGGAGCTAGGCTCTAATTAATCCAGAGACAGAAAAGTGGTGATGAAAAAAGAAAAGGGAAAAAAAAAAAAAACGGACTCGACCCATTTTTTCCGGTCTAAATTTACAACGAAAAAGCACCAAGAGCAGCACGCTTCCACTCTGCTTAAGGGCGTACTAACATAAATCGGGGATGGAAGAGAAAGCTCAAAACATGGAAACGGATTATGTAGGTTAAGCTCAGCTTTTGTCATCCGCTTCAAGGTCCAGCTAAGGCAACGCGGAGCCCCCGGCTGGGGCCGATCGGGCGGCAGCGGCACCGGGCCGGCCCCGCGCCCCCTCGGGGCGCCACGTCCGCTCCGGGCGCCGGGCGCGGGGAAGGGGCCGAGCTCGGCGGGGCCAGAGCCGCTTCCTCCGGCGGGGACCCGGGCCGGGCCGCGGGAGGGGATGGGAAGCGGCGCGGGCCCCTGTGCCTCCTCCCCCGCCCTAGCCCCTTCCTTCCTTAGCGCTCCTTACCCGCCTTGTAGCCGCGCAAGCCGGGCTGGGGGTGCAGCCCGCCCCACATGGTGCCGCGCCGGGCCGGGCCGGGGATCGCCGCTCTCCGGCGGGCGGGCCGGCGGCCCGGATGGGCGGCGGAGGCGCCGCTGCCGCTGCCCGGGAGCTCAGCGGAGCGCGGCGGCGGCGGGGGCTGCTGCCCGCCCCAGAGGCGCCGCGGCCATGCTGCCGAGCGCGGTGGGACCCCGCCGCCCCTCGCCGCAGACAAAACTTGCTCTATTGCGCTGCCGCCGCCTCCTGCCTCTCCGGCGCTGGCAGCGGGGCGGGGATAGGGGCGGGAGCGCCGCAGATGCGGCGGCTGCTGCTCGGGGACGGAGCGCTTACATAACCCGGCCCCGGGCGAGCTGCAGCTCGGGGCTGCGGCGGGGGCGAGTCCGCCCGGCCCAGCACGGCCCGGCCCAGCTCGGCCCGGCCCAGCTCATCCCGCCCCAGCTCATCCCGCCCCGCCGAGGCCCCGCCGGGCCGCGGAGGTGGTTTTGGGCTCGCGTTTGCACTTGTGTTGGCCGCCCGCTCACCCTGGGCTCGGGGCAGGGGCTGGTGGGCAGCGGTGTGTGCCTGTCCCCGGGGAAAGCGCTGCTCTGACAGCACTTAGCGTGGTGTAAAGGTAATCGGAAAAGGAAAGCGAAATGTCTGACTCTAGAGTTGCTGCGCGGGAAATACCCAAGGCCAGTATGCGCTGACCTTAGCAAGTAGAGTTCATAATAAAATCACTGTTTTCCCCTACTTATGTTTGTTTTAGCAAGAAAACGATGTGGAAATAAAGAAGAATCACGATATGCGTTTGAACGATCAGTTCCACCAAAAGATCCACAGTAACATCAAAAAGTTTAAGCCACAGGACTGTGAATAAAATGCTCCCGTCAGCAATAACTAAAACACAGTAAGAGGCGCATCCCCTCTCCACGCTGCTCCGAGTCTGCTCCAAATACTTCAAAACATAATTCTGCAATTGTAAACTACTGTAAAGTAGTTTACAGTGGTCCCCATGTAAACTACTTTCTGAACAAGGCCCTGACTCAATCAGCAATCCACATTGTCAGACAAAAACAAAGAGAAGGAGAAAGCACTTGGACAGCTTTTAACTTCAGTATAGCCATACCAAGATTACAAAATGCACACCTACCAAAAGAAGAAAAGCAATGCTTCAGACAGCATCGTAGATTATGATGGACATGATAGTTTAGGGAGGTGAGGTGAAACAGGATTGGTTCTGGTTTTGTGTGGAGACATCCACAATCAATAAATAAAATTGTATTCAAACATTTCCTGCTGACCCAATGCATTTTTAATTAGTAGCTGGTGATCACAGAACAGCTTTTATCTCTTCAGAAAATTATATATTTTGTTTCAGCACAAGACATATTTTATTTATGCCTAGCTTGGTATTCATAATGTACTCAGTAAAACTGGCCTCAGAAGTACTGGCAATGAGCATGTAGAAATGCTGCATGTTGTTATTTCATCCTCTTTCTTACCTATATAAAGCCCTTGCACACTCACTGAAGACCTGACATGATGTGCATTCCTCACCAGCTTGTTTTAACTTCAGAGTGTCAGTGGGTGTTCTGTAGGCAGAGTTGTAGAAACACAGATTTTAAATGTTACCAAATACTGAATAAAAAAACCCAAACAGTAAAACTGCAGGAGATCCTGTCAAAATCTTCATACTGTTGCTAGAAGTCCTTGAATGGTAAAAGGTCAGAAGCATTTTCAAGAAGCCACAAATACTGGTTTACAGCAGAACACCAAAGCAGGAACTAAATTTTCATTGATACCACCTCAGCGAAAGTGTTCAGCCTTCAACCCTGAAGCCAGCATCAATATCGAAGATTATTTGCGAGAGAGATGCATGATAGGTAAATATGAATATTAGAAGAGATGATAAAGGCTAAAGTATGTTGCAAAACTTTGAAGACAAAGAAACATATAACAGCTTAGTTCAAGACCTTTTTAAAGGACTTGACTATGTGTAACATTTGTAGCATACTATTTTGTTGGATTAGTTTGAGTACTTAGCATATTTACAGGAGGATATGGTGAGCTGTAAGGAAGCTGAATTTTAAGATGGGGAAGGTATCTAGCTGCAGGTGAGAAGAAAAATAGACTCATGACTGCTAAGCTCTGGGGTTTATGGTGCTGTCCTGAAATGCAGCTGCAAGAATCCAGAGGCATATCATGCCTGCAAGGAAGCTACATGCGTGAAAAAGGTGTGGTAACTGTTCTTCTATCTTCTAATAAATGTCACTGTGGTGGTTTTATGTAATTTGTATTGCCATCCATGGAAGCTTTACAGTTTCTTAGGAATCTCCTGTCTAGCCATGAACAATACCACAGATGAAAAAAAGATAAAAAGGCCAAGATGAGGGTGGCAGAACACAGTCAGATAGCCTGGCTGAATCCCCTCCAACCACAGGGCTGTGTCTTCCAAGGTGTCCCCACTGGGACATCTGTGCTTTGACAGTGCTACTGCTCAGAGCAGAAAGAAAAAAACAACTGTGCTTAAGTATAAGCAGTCAGATAGCAAAACCTGACACACTTTCATTGTTGTGATTGGATTTTAAGTTATTTTTATATAAACTGAGTGTAATTAGTAAAGCTTTTTCACTACAAATTACCACAGTGTATCTGTCTGGAAACCATGCCAAACTGAAGCCACTAGTTTTACTCTATAAATAAATTTTAGCTTGTTAATGCTTTATTCTTTATCCAGCAATGTTTTACAGCTGCAGTCTGCTTCTGTGTACAGTTCTAGACCCAGAACAGTATTTGTTTCAGATTTTCAAAAATCTCTTGAAAAATTATGATGCCTGGTCTGGACCTCCCACAAAAAACCAAAACAAAACAAAACACCAAAACACCAGCTTGTGCCATTTAATGCTGCTGAAGCAATCCCCTATTTTCATGTAGATCTCAGCTTGACAATGCAGTGTTCCCTGAGGACACCCCAAGTCCATCTTCTTAACAAGTGTCTGTTGTGCTACCTGCAAGGCCCAACCATGCAGAGGGGTGGGATGTAGTGGCTCTGGTCCAGTTCCCGTGCCTTTGCTCCCCTGTCCCAAGGGAGCGTACCTACACTAAGGTGACTTGCATGAGAGTAGAAACATGGAGTCATTAAGGTTGGAAAAACCTCTGAGATGCTAAGCTTGTCACCTCTTACATCTCTTGGGTTGGGATAGGAATTAGGAGCTTGACAATCTGTGTTCCAGTGCTGCCTCAGTCAAGAGGGGTATCATGGTCCTGATACTCTAGGAAAGCAGCAGCAGAGTATGAGGGGAAACTCATGTAACCTTACACATAAATAAAACTGTAAGTGGAAACATCCTACATCCCCAGGTAATTATTGTGAAATGTGATACTCCAGACAGTGAATGGACTCAATTTCTCAGTGACCTTCTCCCCACCTCTTTTTTTCTGACACAAACTCCACCTTCTTGGCAGACTGAACAGAGGAAAATGACAATAGAAAGTAACAGCTTAAGCACTAGTGCTGGGCAGATGCTGTCTCACTAAAGTCAGCTAGAGTATGTTTTATCCAATGGTCTGTGGATCCAGGTTCAGAAATCACATCCCTTTTTCTCCCCCCTCATTAAAACATAATGCTTGAAGTAGAATTAAGCTGAAGCATAACCTGTGAAAGCAGCATTTTCCTTTGATTAAAGCCAAAAATAAGTTCAATGTTTCTTCTACACACTTGCTTTCACATTTAATAAAATTAAAATATTATTTAAAAACCCAAATGCAAATACCTAAACATTGTTCTAAGAGAATGCACACCATTTCCACTATCTAATTAAGACGTTAGGCATGTGTGCATTCTATCAAAAAACAACAGCGGTATTTCTGCAAGCACATCTACATTGTAAATTGCTTTGAAATTAAAATAACAAATTTTCAGTTATTGACTTGCTTCACTAAGTACAGCAATTCTTTCCCTCCACCCACAACTTTTTCAGTTGAACACTGTGTCCTAGCAAAGTCTTAGCAGCCTTTAATAATCCTTAAAACAATTCCTCCTGTTTTCCAAAAAAATAACTGTGTATGTTACAAAGCAAGATGTTAAACTGTATTGAGAGTCACTATTATTAAGAACAGATTAGCTTACCTATGGAACTGCACACCTGCTGGTAGGGGCATGCTGGCCTATAAAAGACTGAAGTGTTTTGTTCAAAGTACACAGAGTGCACTGCACAGCATTAGCAATAAATTGTGTCACCTAATATCTGCAAAGTAGACATTGTGAAATAACACTATGTATACAATGTTCTTATTTTTTCCTTTTCTACAAGCAAATGAGAGTGCACATGTCTCACAGAGGAGCACCAGTTGATACCAGTTTGAATCTGCTTTGCACTGCACTTTTACTAACAGCTTACACCGTGACAGAGAGTCAAACCAAGCAGTTCACTGTTACCATACCTATAAACATAGCTGTGGTTTATTACAACATCTTGAAATTGCAGATTCTTATTAATGTTCCAGCTTTCAGAATCAGATTTTCACCTAAAACATTATTTACATGATTGCTAAAAGACCCTTTGTTGTCAGGAATTTTTCACCTTTTTTTTTTGTGTGTGTGCGTGTGTGTGTGTGTGCATATATCACATTAATTTAAAATAAATAACAGATAATTAAATCAACATTGTGTTATCAACTCAGATATTGCAGGAAGAACAAGTGCAGGAGTGGCATCCAGTGATGGCTAACCAATGGAGTGGCTAACCAATAACTTATGAAGATAAACAGGATTTTCCAGGTATATTTTTCTCAAGGGGAATTTTTTTGAGTTCTACTTTCTATCTTCCATTTCCTCCATCCTTCCTTTTCCCAAAGGCAATAGAAAAGAAGAGGAAATATAAATGGTTTTGGAGCAGATGAAGAGAATATGTAAAAACCAACAGGCTTTTCCCAGGCTTCCAAGTTTGGCTCCTATAAAGTTTAATTGCCTGTACCAGATCAGCCAGGGAACCTCTTCCCCTGGACTCACTAACATATCCAGCTTTCTTCCAAGACATTATCTCTCACAAAAATATTTTTTAAAATTGTTTCTTTTACTTTACTTCATGACTTTCACAGAATCTCACAAGTTGTCTTGTTCTTGAGCCCCCTTGAGTCACTCTCACTTTCTGTGAACACACTATCTGATTTTAGGAGCACCAATGCTTTTTGTATTTGTTTCTCTGTGCTAAAACTTATGCTAAAGCCCAGGAAGCCCCAGCAGTGCTGCAGTTCAGGGTTTTGATCCCACTGCCAGTGACAGTGCTCAAATTTTTATAGCCAGCATTTTTCTTCAATGCAGACTTTTTTTACTCCATGTTACACACAGACAAATGAGTGCAGAGGATGATGCATCCTACACAATAACTTGTAGGGTTTCTTAAGCTTCTTTATATATGTTAAATACCACCTCAAATATGAAGTAACTGCCATATTAGAAGCACAAAACCAGCATTTAGCCTGACCTGTTTAAACCTACCTGCTTTCAAGTTTAATCAAAAACCAACCACTTTTATGTAGTCATTGAAACAAAGGATCAGACCATGTAGTTCAGGTTCCTGGCCTTTTTCCACCTCAGCATTCAAAGGAGTAAGTCCTGTTTTCCTTTTGCAATAAACATCCCTGCTGAATTATATAACTTTGCAGTAAATCAGAATTTTAAATTTTAAGTAACTGGTACAGGAAGGCCAAACATTCTACAGCACAACTAGCCAGCAATGCAATGTTGTTTGAATATTTGAAAATGGAAATTTCTACCAAGAGGCCGTCATTATCTGCTTATAGCCTGAAATATGTTGTTTGTTTATTCCAAGTCAGAAATACAAGCTATGAGCATTACCAGTCAGAAAATTATCTGGTCTCTTGTGTTTGAGCCAAACCCAATATTGCTGCAAAGGGATGAAATTTCAGCAAAGTTAATGGAGTTATGCCAGTGCTTAGTTTAGTTAGCTCAGTACTGTCATATGCCCATACGTAAAAGTCGGATGGAAAAATTTATTTCATGCTGTAACTATAAATACTATAACTTAATGAGGCTCCCTACCCTGTTTTTTCTCCATTGACTTTTATTCTATAAAAATCACTGACACTGATTCTAGAATAATTAATTATGTACTATATGCTACAATAATGTATCATTATTATAATATATTTTTTTTCTCTCAGTAGTGAGAATTCCATAAGTAAAATAACGAGGTATTCTATGCTGGTGGAATAAAATCCAGTTTAATTGGGCACTTCTATACCCACCCATCACCCAACCAGATGTCTC